CCCTGGAGGCCTTGTGAAAATACAAATGGCTGGGCCCCAGCCCAGAGTCTGATTCAGGAGGTCTGAGTGCGGCCTGGGAATCTGCCTTTCTGTCAAGTTCCCGGGTGGGACCCCACTTAGAGAACCACTGCTCTAAGGGATGGCAGAGCCAGTCCTGGAGGCCTGGGGCTCAGGTGAGGGAGGGGCCAGGTAGAAGGGCCTTTCTCTGCCCTCGAAGGGGCAACGGGTAATTGGTCCAAAGGATGTTCCACAACCCACCCCATTATCAGCTCCATAACACAGAAGGGGCCACTCACCTCATTACAGTTTATGTCAAATTGGTCCTTGGACTGGTCCAGGGTGACTGTCCCCACACACTGTTTCACCAGCTGAAGGGGAGACTCGAGGTCAAACTGGAACCCCCCGGACCATCACCTCCCAAACTCAGCACAGGGGCTGGAAATATTCCCGGAAGCGCCCTGTTTACATCCCTGGGAAGCATCCTCCAGTGCCCCCAGCCCCCAGCCTCACCCCATTCTCCTTGAAGTCACACTGCTCCAGGGGCTGCTGGGTCGTCCTGAGGCACACGGTCTCCTTCACCGTGAAGCTCACAGGCTTCGGGGTGTTCAGGTCCTGATCCTGGTCAAGGATCAAAGTAAGGAGACTGGGCCCGGGCTCATGCTTCCTTCTCTGATCTGTCTCCCTGCCCCCACCTAGACGGCAGCCTCTCCAGCCCCTCCTGTGTGCCTGGGACCTGGCATGGTGCTGGGTGCACAGGGGAAGGGGACGGAGCCCACTCCTGGCCTCGTGGGCACACAGAGAGCCGGAGGGGACCTCAGACCAGCTCTGATGAGACCACCCGCACCTCTGACGGGCTGAGGGAAGTCAGGGGCTGCCTGCAGGGGGAGATCCTGTCACCGGAACCTCTAGGCCCAGCAGAGCCCTCCGAGTAGGGAACAAAGAAGTGCAGAGCGGACTCAAAACAGGGTAGTCACATCTCAGAGCCAGTGACCACCCTCTATCCCTGGAGCTCCCAGAAGGCCCTTAAGCCTGAACAGGGTGTACAGGGCGCCTATTCCCACAGCAGAGATGCTAAGGCAGGAAGCCTCATGCTGGGAGGGGACCCAGCTCTGGGAAGGTTTCCTGGAAGAGGTGGGAGCCCACCTAGAGGGAGAAGTCCCTTCCTGACAGGAGGTACAGCCTGAGCAGAGGGGGTGACAGCATGGCCAGGGCTGGCGGGAGACAGCCCCCTCCCCAGGGTCCTCCTGACTCACGGCCTTGGGAGGTGGGTCCAGCTCCAGGAGGCGGTAGAGATTAGCTTCTGAGGACCGCTCGTTGAGACGATCCACAGCATGAAGCACAGCTTCCCTGTAGCTGAGGGTCTGGGCGCTGGCCGAGGGCACCACTAGTCCCAGCAGCAGTAGCCACAGTGACCACCGCCCCAGGGCGAGGCTGGCCCTCTGAGTCTCCATGGTCCCCAAGTCGGCCTCCTCCCAGCATGCAGGACCCTCCTTTATGCCCCTCCTGGGCCTGATGCAATGGCCCAACCACGCGTCTTCCTGACCTGCCCCATCCCTGATCTCCTCCCCGGCTGTGAGCTGGACTTGCCTCAGCCCCTGCTGTTGCCTCACGGGATTGCTGGGCAGTGGGAGCGGGAGGCCTCCTGTGGAAGGTGAAGAAATGGTTTCTCCATCTCCCTGACAACACCTTGGCCTCTCCTGGGGCCCATGGGGAGTGTCATAGGCAGGGTTGCTCAAGAGCATTGAGTCCTCCAGGAGAGGGAAGACCAGGCTCTGTCTTACGTCCCCTCTGCCTCCACACTCTGGTCTCCTCAGGAATAGGGTAAAGGAGTGTATTCAGCACTCAATCTCCTCCTCTAGGCACTGTCTGGCACAGAGTAGTCATCAGTTAATGTTGATGAGTGGATGACTGTACCAGCTCCTTCTAGAGCCTTACACACCTAGCCCAAACCCCAGACAGACAGTCAACCCCACACCATCTTGTCTTTTGGGCCCAGCCCTCAGCCAGTCAGGGGCTTGGCTCCCTCTGTCTCCTGTCCTGGATTCATCCTCACTGTTTTCTCGGTTAAATAGTTCTCCACGGGTCCCCACCAGACATGGCCTGTCCCCCTGACCCCTCCTCAACCAAGCATGGGAGGGGTCATCTGCACTGGGACCCCAGTTCAGTGCCGCCTCTCACACTCAAGGCCACTGCAGACTGGCCAGTCCTCACTGGATCCAAATTCACACTCAAGCCTTGTCTTCAACTATACGGACTCTAGAGACACGTCTGTCCTCCTGAAATGGCCCTTGACCGATTGTCCCCTGCTGCCACTCTCCTGGGTGCCCTCCTGCCTCCCCCGTGGCTCCTGCTCGGTCTCCTCCAAGGACCCTCCTCCTAAGAGGCAGGGCTGGCACAGGTGCATCCGGGCTGCTTCTCCTC